GCTTTGGAAAGTACTTTTTTGGCGTGGGTTTGGTTAATTAAGCACGATTTTCTGTTGCTTAGCTTTATCTTCAGATTGATAAATCCTTTGATGAGTGGATACATAACTTGGAGTTCTTGATCTCGTGACATGAAGAAAATAAAATTTCCTGCTTGCACTGGCGAGTCCTACAAGGAAACCGGTCTACAAACGGCAGTCTGATCTTCGGGAACAGGAGAAATGGCCATCTAGGTGTTCTAATCCTCGATGCAGCATACATCAATAAACAGATGATGGGGGGTTGGGGTTTAGGTTTATAAGTCCCTCGCAGTACTCCACAAGTTACCGGCTTTTGGAGTTATTGTGGGGAGTTAGGTTTATTTGGCAAAAATTCTTACTTTCGTAAGAAAATGTCAGAAAGAAAAAAAAAATAAACAGATGATAGATGATAGGAACTGTACTTGCATTTTTCTTTGCCCTCATTCCCTAGCTGTCTGATTTACTTGACTTCAAAGTTCATGGTTGTTCGATCAAATTAATGATGGTGACAAATTTGAAATTTGTTACGTCATTGGTCCTTCCATCTTCTAATTCTACGTACGTATCAGCATTAATATAAACATGGATGGAATCAGGAATTTGAGTTTGAAGAGGCAAAATACATATGCATATAAATTTTTAAAATCATCATAATATTTTTTTTTTTAAAAAAATTGGGGGGAGACAAATACCTTAAACTATATACTAGCTAGGAGTCTAAATATTTTCTTCCTTCCCCTTCCTCAAGTTCGAAAATCGTGACAATGAAACGTAGCCTAGTTGATAAAACGTTTCATCTAAAATTGACAGGTCGAATATGAATTCGAGTCGTCAAAAAAGCAAGTGGGAAATCACGCTTGATCCTCTTTTAAATGAAATGAAATGAAGAAAAAAATTTTGAACGTGTACTATACAGCAAATACATTTCTAACATTAATTAACATTGAAACCTTAGATCACATGGTTGTTACTGTACACGAAAATTTTTTGATTCATGTGATCGAACAGTATGCTAAGATAAACTCATCGACCGCACAATCAAAGATATATAATTAACAAGCGTGCAAAAAAATGGTATCTTTGAATCCTGTGCTTAGCAGCAGTCATATGTAAGAAATATAAACCAATTATGCTCAAAAAATCTGAAGGCTTCTCGAGGCACATAAATATGATGAGTTCAGTTGGAACAGTACTGAAAAGGGTGCTCTATTACTTGCGTGTACAGAATTATTTATGGCATGAGCAATTATACGGTAATGAAATGTAAAGAGCTCGTGGTCTTTGCCAAAGCCATCACTTTTACGGTCATCTAGGGGAAGAAGAGATTGCATTTTCGTTATGACCAGATACAGATTACGGCCAAGGGAGGGGGCTGCGACTGCATGCGTCTAGTAGTATTTGACTGACTTTGTATTCCATTTTGCTGAAAAAAGCCGGCAGCTTAGCATAGCACTGTTACTTACTGAACAAGACAGCGTTAATCACAAGAAGCCCCAATAATAGCAAAAACTGAAAGATCACGCATGCTCAAGTACTATCAATTACTGGGAATAGACTCAGATGAAAATACTTTCTGGATTGTCAACACGAGTGTGCGTTTGCATAATTCCCTTCTCTTTTATTAAATTTCTTGTAATTAATGAGGTGTTGTTTTTGGAAGGGGGCGGAGGACGTCAAGTAGAGCGGCCATGATGAAAAGTAATAAGCTGACGGGAAAAGCACGAGTAGCTCATCAATCTATTCTATCACAAACTAATAATGTCCCGTCCATCCGTTGATTCTAGAAATGCATGCACTCTCTCTTTGTCTATCATAATGTCTCGTACAAGTGCATGATAGCTTCATTGGAATGTTGCACTTGGTTGGTTCAAAAGAATTTTTTTTTTTTTTTGGCTTTTTAACCAAGAAAAAACATGGGCACAGGGTGTACAGGTAGGTATAAATGCATCTTGCGCTTGCTGGTGCTGCCAATTATGTATATATACGTTCCTTTCTTTAACATTTGTTGTAAATTTGCCTATACAGGAAAAAAATGCTCAAATTTAATAGAAGTAATTTTGTTAAGGATACCACATAAAAATGGTTGGACAAGATCGATACAAAGTCAATCTTAAAACATTACATTGGAGGCTTTCCCGAGAAATTTTGTAAGGTTCACCCTCAGAACCACAGTTGCAGCATCCCCTCTCTTTCCGTTCAAGATAGTAAAATGTTGTATCCATGGTTCAAAGTCGCGGTCGCGGTCACAATTGTGGCTCGGACCGTTCCACATCGATTCGGCATATCAATTGCAATCTCAACGAGGTGCAAATTTTTGAAATATTTAATATTTTAAAATTGTAAAAAAAATTTAATAAATAAAAATATTAAAAAATTAGCAAAAATAATAAAAATTTGAGTCGATTCGAGACGACTCAACCGTTTTTACTCATCTTGACCGAATTCTCGACGATCCGTTATTTCAGAATCATCTCGTCCCGGCATCAGAACAGAAAGCTCTATTTATTCCAGTGATAACTCGACCAACAATTGAAGCATGGTTGTATCTGAACCATAGCGGAGCCAGGAATTTTTAATACGGAAGCAAAATCATAACGGTATAAGAAACTTCGTGGAAGTAAAGTACCACTTACGTGCACATATATACCTAAGGTAGGTTGTAATCGGGGGTGGTCATCCTTGTGTGCTAACTTCATTGCTAGATCAATAAAATAGCTCTCATTTTTTCTCACTGTATCACTTTTTCGATATAATGTATATAAGATAAAAATATAATTGAAAAATATGTTAACGATGTAAGTAAATAAACTTTGACAAATAATCATCTATCCAAACAAACAACTAGGTGAGCATAACGTGAGAGGATTGATTGAGAAAAATGTGAAGGGGCATTGAAGTACGTAGCTAGCGTTGAACTAGTTAGTAGTTTGGAGTACTCTCATTTGGAACTGTCCCGAAAATAAATTAGATTTTTAAAAATCCGTTAAGTTGATTAATTCAAATTAAAGACCTACAAAGAATATTGGTTTAGGTAAACCCATAAAGTAAAACGATAAAGAAACAACAGAGGACAGAAAATCGGGCACATTGTCCTACGTTCCTAATGTCCAACATGTCTTGCGGTAGGATCAGCAGCGAGTGAGTGAACTTGGAGAAGACAAGAGCAAAAAGTTGCTAAGGGTTCAGTCAACTTAGAGGAGACAAAAGCAAAAAGTTTAAACTTTCACCTGTGTCTGGACTCTGGAGTCAAGCAGCATGTAAAGCAAGTCTTTGCATGCAACATGCAGCATTATTGTTCGGTTCAAGTCATTGGATTCCCATTTCCTAAATATATATGTATCTCTCTCTCGACTTGAGCTAAAAGAAGTTCCTGGGACACCAACCGATCGATATTTGACTTCTGAAAAACTCTGGCCCAAGAAGCTGGACCTTTAAAGTCTGGAGACCTCCTTCTTCAAGAAGCTTCCTCTGTGTTCTTTGTGATCCCAGGACCGCCAAACTTGCCCATTGTTCGTCTTGTCTTAGTCAATGTATAAATCTGATATTTGTTCTATTAGAAAAGAGATGAGATCGCTGTCGTTAGTCTGAGCGTATGTTCCAGGCAAGAGTTCCACACAAGCATATATTCTATCCACGTTAAGGACAACACTAATCTGAGCTTAAGTCACGCCACTATATACTAATATCAATATGGAATGGGCACCGGGAAATTTGACGAGCAGCTACTACAAATGATAGTTTTGTAAGCAATATTTTCCATAGACAACTTTACTCCTCCTTGGCCACTACTAGCTTAAACTAAGTTTCTCGAGGCAAAGTTGTCCATTAATTAAGTCAAAAATTGCTCTAAACTCCTTGTTTTGCTTTGACAATACTAAATATCACCGGCTATTAAGATGTTGATAGAGGAGAAGTTTTAATGAATCCTACGTATCAATTAGATATTTGAAAATCTAAACGAGACTCGTTGAAATTTTAAACACCAACATTTTATAAAGAAAAAAAAAATCAGTACGTTATTAATAGCCTTAACTTTTTTGACAACAAAAAAAAAAAAAAAGAAAAGAAAAGAAAAACAGATATCAGTACATAGTATATGCTTATTTAATGAGTTGATATTATCACATGTTATTAATCCAGCAAGAAATGCTTGACTTATACAAGGATAATCGACATTATTCTTGAACCATACTGATCTAGCACAAAATGAACATTCATTAACATCTTTCCTCCATTGGGAATGCTTTGTCTTTTTAAATCTTCGGTACTTAATTTTGGCCACCTCTTAGACTGATATTGCTACTACACATCGAGTGTCTTATCGGACATTGATTGTACCGGGAAGTTGGGTGTGCGAGTAGGTGCTTGACGGCAGGAGGAGTAAGAGCCCATTGCAGGGTTCGGTCAAAGAACCGACTTTTGCAGGAAAGAGTCTTCCGTCTCTGTCTCGATAACAAACTAAAACCAGCCAATAAGATGAAGTAGCAGATTCTTTAGGGGCAATCAGCAATGGGATGTTGGGATTGAAACGAAAAGATATTTTTTGTCATGCCCCACAGGAAACAACTTTATGAGGAAGACCACCTAACAATACCAAGGAGGGAGACATTATGACGAGAGATTTCTAGTCAGAAAAAGTCAAAAGCGTTTGATCATTAGCCCCTTCAATGAAATCATACCACCTGCATTAACAATAATAACAGGGATTTTTTTCTTTACTAATCATATAAAAATAAAAATTAATGTTTCCTGTACCGTCAATGTATCCACACAGACGGATTTAATTAGATGCATACCACATCATCTAAATTTAAATTTAAACACCAAATTTTCATGTGTGACATGCATTTAGATCTGTAAATATATACATTGTCAGTACATACAAAAAAAAGTCAAAAGATTTACTCTAAAAGTAACGCTCTTAATTTGTGAGTTAAAAGTCCAATCTAATGAATGTGGGTCGGTTGCCCTATGTGAAAGGCCTAATATCGTGCACATCGCCAAATTCCATTGCTGCCCGTCAAGTAAAAGTCGGTGAATGAACCGGCTTTGTGACCTGTTTTCGTATCGCCTAAAAAGAGGACGACAAGCTCTGTGTCCTCTTTGTTGTACCACCATGTAACGACACCAAACGGAAGCGCAATAGCATCACCCTTTTTAATTGCAACAACCTTTTCTTCTTTCTCAGGCAGGACAACTCCAGCTACTCCAGAACCTAAGTACAAGAGCCATTAATTCCATAGACTGTTGAAATTACGTAGTGAATTCCCAAAAACAAGTCCCAAACTATTAGAACAACAAAATCAATGAATTACAATCATTTCAAACCATAGGCACAAATCGACAAGTTGCATCAGAATCCTTTTGAGTAAAGGGCGAGAACCTCATTCCCATTAACAAATCCATGAATTGATCGTTGATCAAAAGCAGGGCATCAAGTCCAGCAAAATACTTGATTTAATAAATAAATAAATAAAACCCACCCCCAAAAAAAAAAAAAATCAAAACTGAGTTATACTGCTCATACCACCCCATAAAAGGAAAAACAAAAAAAAGAACATAAGAAGATTCAACTTCTACTCAAATTAAAAGGAAAGACCGCGGTTACCTTGAAGAACATAAGCAACCTTAGCAGAATCAGAGTAACGGGGGAGGGCAAATCCATTCTTCTCGAGAGCAAGCTTGGCTGCACCAATATTGCCTTGACGCAGCATGGGGAGTTCTTCTGGGCACCATGCATAGTAGGCCCCACCATCTCCTCCATAAACCTTCTTCGCCAACTTTGGTGATAGATCAGTCTCCATCTCCTTTATAACCCACAACAAAAACAAACAACTTTTCTTTTGTGGCGAAGAAAACAGCTGAAAATAACGAGAACTGGCGAAAAGGATAGTGGAGAGGCTTGGTATTTATAGGGAAACACTGGAGTTTGGTGAGGATAAGGATTGAGATTGTAACGGAAAAGATACCGATAGTAACACGTTAGGATTTTGTGGATTAATTTATGATAGACTATAATTTTAAGTGTTGTGCTAATCCAATTAATTTGTTTTATATATTAATAAATGTAATTAAGTTTTTGCAAGGTTGATTGACCTTTCTTGCGTCCAGGCCCCAGCACAAGCCAGTGTTGCATCGGATACTGATTCAGTTCACAAGCGCATGCGGTCCAATCCTTTGAAAGTAGATCGTTCTCATCTCTACTAATTGATTATTTTCCCCTTTTTTTGTTTGCTCTTTGTTCTTTTTCTTTTTTTTTTTTGGAACAACCCAAGATTGACCTTTTAAGGCAAAAAAAAAAAAACTAAACTAAATTCCATTATACTCTCATAAAATGTATATGCGAAGAGCTTACTTCTCGTTAATAAAACTCATTTATACCTGTTACCTGATTATGATCCATCCAAACCCGCTCAAATCACACATTTTGACACATCTACTTATCCTTAACTACTTCATATCAATAGCAATGTCTAATGTAATGACAACCCAATCATCCAAGGTTATTCCATGCAAGTTGCAACAAGTGTGAGAAAGATATAAAACAAGAAAAGCAAGCCACTGGCAGCAAACTTAAACTAGTGTAGGCTTTCAACTTTGTCTCTGAAATAAACTGGACCAAAAAGGATTATTATTTGAAAAAACACTCTGTTTGTATTATTTGAAATGATTGGTAACACCACAAGAACGTCCTAGGGCTTAAAATCGGGGGCACTCCCTGGGCAAAAGGGAAACAAAATGTTGAAATAAGTTTTTCTTTTTTGGACAAAAATGTTGAATAAAGTTTAAATTTTAAAAGTATACAATTGAAACAATAACTAGATACAACAATAATTTTGGCAACTAGCACTCCTCCATTATGTTTACCAAAGATATTTGTCAAAAAAAAATTGTGATTTGAACCTCCGTCCAATTTCCTAAAAACATCTTTATTTTCAAAAGTAGAAGATTTTGAATCCAAATCAAATTTCTAATGACAGTAATCTATATCTATATCTATATCTATGTGTATTAGAGGGGCGGGTATTTGATGAGGAGCTTTTTAATTTAGTAATCTATATCTATATGTATATCTAAATCCAAATCCTTTTTTACTACAATTTTGATTTTTTTTAAATTTAGTAATTTTTATCCCTTAACTAACGGATAATAACCACCCCTGTAAATAACTCACAAACCAGATTGACACTTTATTTTTACTACAATTTTAGATTTTTTAATTTAATAATGTTTATCTCTTAACTAACGGATAATAACCACCCCTACAAATCATATCTCCTACAAATCACGTTTGCAAATTACAAATCATGTTTGACACTATATCACACAGCTAATAGTAACAACTAACTGATAAGGAACTCATCACTATGAAAATCACATATTTAAAATTAAGTAGGCTATTTGAATTATAATTTTCATAATTCCCACAATTCTACATATATGACGGATCTTACCTCCATAATTATTCACAAAAATTGACAATTACTAACCCATTTTATTCTCTTTTGTCATCCACACAAACCAAATACATTAAAAAAAAGAAACACTACTTATCATATTCTTACCACGGACGAATCCCCATCTACAAACACTTCAAAAATGCCTAAATTCAAAATCATGCCTATGGTAAAATTACTCCACTTTAATTAATTACTGAACAAATTTTTCAATTCATAATCGTAACCTATATTTTTTTCATTCTTGCTAGGTTAAATATTTTCAAATACTTGCTCGTATTCAAAGTATTAACACGGAAACATGTTCTATGAGCTATGCAAAAATTATTAACAACTATGTGAAGGTCAGTTTTGCAAAAATACGCGTGTAGGCATTGTAATGATATGGTCGACACTATTATTAGATAATTAATTTCATTTACCTTTAACTTCAACATATTTTTCTATATTGTATATAACATTTTTTTTCAAATAGGTGCAATGTTAATATACAAATTAGAGATTCAGTGGTAACCTGCATCTTAATCTACAAGACAACATGCACTATTCGTATTTCATTGTGATGCTTCTTATCTTAGAGAATTACAAATGAAGATAGAATTTCGTGATAATATTTATTTTTTTATAATACTATTTATAAACTGTGTAAAAAAAATACATTAATTTTGAATTTCGCATGCTCTTAATTCTGGAGAAAATGGAGGTAGACAGTTTTTGAATGATACGCACATTTTATTATACTTCAAATTATTGTTAGACAAATCTTATATTTTAATTATCTTGGTACGATTTTTTAATTATTATTTTTTGATTCACCCCTCTTTTAATTTTTTTCAATAATATCAGTACCGTGCATAGCACGGGTATTCAAACTAGTTCTTTTACTATTTATGAGGTGGTTGTAAATGGTAAAATAATGAGTCATGGTCCGAAGACGACTTATTAATTATCACACCATTGTAGTAACTATAGATAAAACAAAACCAAGAAAAAAATAAAATTCAAATTCAAATTGTGCCTAGCTTAATCAAAAGATCCAGAACCTTGTACAGTTTGATTGAATTATATGATTTGATCAAATTGTTTGGGAACATCTTAAATAGTTTAAGGCGCAGTATTTTTTGGGTGGTTTTTCGGGAGTTGGGGAACACAACCTCATTGGTTCTCAGTGACAGCTTACTTTTGCTGCCAAAAATGGAATTCTGTGGCTGCTGGGATTCGAGCCCAGGTCTCTACGGCCACAACGTAGAATTCTAACCACTAAACTACAGCCACAAGTTATTGAAAAAAGCCAAGTAGACGGGTTTAATGGTAGAATAGATGGAATGAATCAAAATTTACACTTGGTAGTTTAGTGGATAAACAACTTACTATTAAAAGTTGAGTGATTAAAATTTTAGTATTTGAAAAGTTTAGCAGCTACTTGAATAATTTGCTCGTTTTCTTTTCTCCCAATAGAATCAACAATCGAAAATATCGAATACAAAAATACTTGAGAACACTAGAAAGCAGTTTTTGGAAATCTGAAGCTAAAATCAGATTTTTAAAATCAATTTAAAACAAAGCCCGTATGAAGAAGGAGAAGGATAGAGACAATGAGGCACGCTAATCTTCTTCTTTTCCTGGGACTATTATCTGTTGTGTGTTTTGCTCGGTCACATTAGCACGATCTCCTTAAAGTTGGTGAATGTACTTAGCACCCCATAATGTTAATACAAGGAAAATGCCTTTGCTTTGCCTCCAATTTCCATTCAGATATATGTCATTCTTGAGGTTATTTGTTCCTTTAATTGATTAAATGAATTCGTTCGAACCTGATAAATAATAACATTAAAAACTATTTCCTCAAAGAGAAAATAATTATTTTGGAATTTGCAAGTTTTAAATCCTCTAAATTAGGCTTGAGCTGTTCCTTGTCACCAAACCGTTGCCCAGCAAGTCGTTGACTTCGCAATCGTGAAATACATACCACTGGCTTTTCAGAAGATGATTGCACTATACCTTCGGGCCATTTCCACCATGTTAAATACTACAATTCCTACGTGTTTCATTGGAAAGGAAAAACGAAAATGAACAAGGAGGGCGTGAGAAGATGATGTCGCTCAATTTAGCAGGTTTATATTTCTAATTTGTAAAGTTTAAGAATTGAAAATAGGACTAGACAGGAAGAATATACAGGTCATTCAAGGTAGCAACTCGAATAATCAACTCGTGCATTATAAAACAAAAGCTTTGTGTTTCAGAAAAACAACATACATTTTCCCCCCTTCTTCGGAGGTTAGCTCTAGGTGCAGCCAAAACTACAACCAAGTTACCTGAACTTCGCATTGCCCACTTTCTGCAGGCTTCAAAACCGAAAAATTATATATATATATATATATATATAAATAAGGGCCGTAGAAAAGACAGAAAATACAAACTTAAACTACAAGACTGCATTCTCATTTCTTTACTAGCTGTAACCTAACCCAGTGAAAAATCGGGCATAGGGGTGTCAAAATCTGAACGGCTGTTAGAATCTAACATCTAATGCAACTGACAGCAAGTTGTGCCATCTCGAGAGCAAGTCTCCAATCCAAGCCCTTGGCAGTCAATGTTTCTGATTGAAGCTTCACAATTGAAAATAGATGCATGTTTCAGAGGGGATCTATAAACAAAGTCGCAAAATAATTTGTTCCAGTTACGGATTAGCTTTCAATGGAGAGGAAGCTCCATTTTCTTGAGGATTAGACGGTGAAGTTCTTGGTCTCTCTCTTAGAAAGCTTTTTCCATACAGGGACCCAAAGACAATAACCTGACATTGAATTTGAACAGCCAATCATTTAGCATTCCACAAAACATGTAGACATAGAGCAAAAATTGCGATTCATGATGCTTACAGCTCCAATACACTGTTCCCAGCTGAGTGGGTGGGCAAACCATACACAGGACAGCAGAATGCTCACCAACTACAACAACAGATGGATAGGGAATCATTACTATTTCTTTATAGGTGCCGCCAAAATAACAGAATCACTAAAATTTCTTTCTATTCAAATGATTTTGTTTCACGGGCAGTTTATGACAGCTGCTAGAATTTAAGAAACTATTAACATACCTGTCTTGTGGTCATTATGGTCGCAAACGTCAGAGCACCAAACGTGCGGATTGTATAAGAAATAAAGAATTGGCTAACTGTTGCTACCTGCATGCAAATGAATGTAGCATTTTATATGTGTTTGTGAAAAAAGAGTATCTAATGTGCTTGCAATTAAGAAAAGTATTTCTAGGCACAATACAAGTCGCCACACCACCAAGTCCTTCAATCTTTCACTTGGACTTAAAATTCTAATTTCACAACTGACCCCCTCAACTTGTGCACATTTTGTTTATAGCAAATAGAACTTGATCAAAACTCGACTCCTTGTGCACGTAAAAAAAAAAAAAAAAAAAAGGTGACCA